GAGAGAGAGAGAGAGAGAGAGAGAGAGAGAGAGAGAGAGAGAGAGAGAGCGCACAGATTGTCCTTTCAAAAGCCTAGCAAATTCTGCTGTTCGATATTTGGTCTGTTTGACAATTGCACCCTCATGTTAATTCATATCAATCATAATTTGTTTTAAAATTAGAGAGGGTGTTTAAGGAAATGATAGTTGTTATAACAAACTCTAAAATGAGTCAGAATATTGATTTTTAAACGTTAAAACTGTGTATGAAAAGACTTCGGAAAAAATAGTACTATCTTGAGAAAATGAACTTAAAGTTTAAGAATGTGTTGGGCATTTCGTTGTATCTGTATGTACTATGGGTGCATGTTGGAAATTAATATAATAAGTCTTTTAATCAACAGAGGGGAGGAAGAATCCAAAGGCTCCTAAGGTTCCCTTGTTCTATATTACAAGCAACTTTAGAGGTATCCTGTAAAGTGAACAATTACCACTTTTCACATGGCTGCATCTGCTTCAGAATGGCCCGTGGAGGTATGTACAAGGGTCCTGTCTTTAAAACAACATTCACCTACAGTCTTTAACATTTATGCTTTCCTTGACAAACAACAGCAGCAAATCCTTCCTTATTGTCTTAGCAGCTAAGTGACCTCATGAAAACGAGAAGCAGTGCTGAGACTGCCCTCTCTAGATGGTCTAATGGAAACGTACTTCTTACTCATCATACAGGAGTATAGGTGTTCAATCTATTTTTTTGTCTTATACTAAAGAGTACTGCACTAGGATTTCACGACAACCTGTGTAATAACTATGATCAGCCGTCTTGTATATAGACTGACCGACTTTAATGGTGTTATTTGAGAGATTTAAATTAATGGAAACACAGATTTGTGAACTCTGTGGCTTCAGTGTCTCAAGGGCACATATATGAGACTTGTGCTGTTCAATAACGAGGCCAGAAGAATCTGACAAGTCCAAATTATGGTGTGCTCTAAATGAAATATTAATGACTTAACATACAAAGAAGAATACACACTGTCTCCCTCACAACTATTGCCGACATGTCATAACACCATCTAATGCTAGGCTAGGCTCTATTTTGACTTTTTAGTACGGCTACAGAGATTTTAAAAGTGCATACACATGGCTTCAACTGTCTTGTATCAGGAAGTATTCATCTCTATATTAAAAATTACAGGGGGCTGTTACAGTCCAAAAATTTCACTAACCTAATAATTCTATACCTGTTTTAATATTTATCATAAATAAAAAACAAATAATAATATGAAATATATTAGAATTAACTGATGGCATCATTGTAATTATTTTGGGGGTAGGACAATACAAAACAAAATAGAAAGTAAGACTAACCACGGTTTTTGAATGGTCTACAGATATTTCCACTAAATGTGGTAAAAATTGATGCAAGGGATGCAATATAAATCAATTTCATGTATTGGCTGCTTTTGTGTGTTAACCAGACAAAAGCAGGAATCATCAGAGGAAGGAGCCTCAGTTGAGGAAACGACTTCTTGAGATCCAGCTGTAAGGTGTTTCTCATTTAGTGATCAAGGGGGGAAGGCCCCGTCCATGGTGAGTGACCTCTTTCCTGGGCTGGTGGTCCTGCATTCCATAAGAGAGCATGCTAAGCAGCCCAGGAGCTACAACCCAGTAAACAGTTCCCCTCCATGGCCTCTGCATCAGGTCCTGCCTCCAGGATGTTACCTTGTTTGAGTCCCTGTCCTGACTTCCTTCTATGCTGAACAATGCTGGGAAGTGTAAGCCAAATAAGCCCTTTTCTCTCCAACTTGCTTTTTCGGTCATGGTGTTTTGTGACAGCCATAGAAACCATAATTATGTGATTTCATTTTTCCTATTTTAAATTTTATGCCTATTAAAAATGCAGAAAAGGTTGTAGTATAATCTTCTGAAGATCTACTGTTTAATCCCAAGAAATAAGCATCCCATAGACTACAAATATTAGTAATAAGAAAGTTTAAACAATGCCTGACCAGGGCTATGTTAGTCTAACCAAATGTTTTTCTTCAGAGTTTGTAGAAGTTATTTATAAATTTCCTGTGAATGACATCTAACTTAACAAGGACAGTGACGATAACCAAGACCATCAGTTATAACTAAGTTTGCAGGAATATAAAGTTTCATAATAAGAAAACAATTGTTTCACTCACTTACAATTAGAAGACACTATGAATTATGAATATTAGAATACACTATTACTGACTGCATCTAGATCAAAATTATTACTTGTTCATCAATCGTACAAAAGCTTTAACAAAAAAATGATCTATGTGTATACATGTTATATGTATTTACTTTTGAAAGATCTCAGGAAATCTGAATTTTTTTTTTCAAAATAAAATTTAACATAATTTAATCTAAAAAGTACTTTACTTTAAAAGAGCTAAAGATAGGGTTTTTTTTTATATGTTTTTCAAGACAGGGTTTCTCTGTAGCTTTGGCACGTGTCCTGGAACTAGTTCTTGTAGACCAGGCTGGCCTCAAAATCACAGAGATCCTCCTGTCTCTGCCTCCCGAGTGCTGGGATTAAAGGCGTGCACCACCACCGCCCGGGAAGATAAGGTTTATATTGAAAGAATTTTTATTTTGACTTTATGAAAAATTATCGTGAGATCTACAAATATTATTTATTGCCACACCTAATGGGGAAACAATATTCATCCCTTCCAATAACTCACTATCCTTGGCTTTATCAGCATACCGAAGGCTCCTTGAGTCACAGAAACACGAAACTGAACAGAAACAAAAGAGAAGCAGCAGCCAGAAGCATTGACAAGTCACGTCAAACCATTTGCAACAACATTCATAGAAATATGCATATGTGAGCTTCGCACATGTCCACATACGCATATCCCTACACAGCTGCGGACGGCGGGAGGAAAATGTAGACAGCAAGAAAGTCGGCAGGAGTGGATAAGTCAGTGAGACTCACATGAAACAAAACAGAGTGGTTAAAAGAAAAGATCACTGTACAAATGATAAGAAATTCAGAAAGTCTTTATTTTATACCTTTCTCGGTCTGGTGAATGCAAACTAGTGTCTGGTCTCAAGCAGCTGGTACTAGCACTCTTAGCCCTGCCAAGGGAGGACTGCAGCTCGCTAGTGCCAGTGCATTACATCCAGGGGGAGAAGAGAAAGACAAAGGAAAGAAAGGAAGACCACGTTAGAGAGGAAAGCATAAAATAATGTTCTCATTACACAGAATGTCGAATCACTGCGATTCAGTTCATAAGGGTGTGAGAGAGCCACAGGATGACAGCGTCAACTTTTGTTTAGAAAGTAAACAAATATTATGCTTAAAATTGCGTTGCATAATTTAAAAAAAGAAAAGAATCTCAGACTGAAATATGACACTAAATCACACCTACTTATGAAAAAAAAACAAATTGGATACAGGAAGCATTTAAAACAAAATGCCTAAAACTTTATTACCAAGGACAGATGCCACACCAAAACAAAATGAAGGACATCATAGGAGAAATAACTGTACAGCTGTACTCGTTTGGTTCACAGCCCTAGACAAGGGAAGGGAGAGTCTTCACTCCCTGATCCTCTGACCTAACAGACAGCTCATCAGTACACATCAGCACTCTCGAATTACAATAATCAGGCTGAAGGGGAATGTTCTGTCTAGTCACTGATCTGGTCCACGTGTGTGCAGGCAGGATGGTGCTCACAAATCAAAGTCACACAAATAAAAGAAAATGAAATTAATCACAATTGTAATCAATAAGGAAATGATAAGTAAGCAGAATTCTGACTTCTGAATTGTGTTTCACTTAGAAAGTTGTTTTAGAATATATGTTTATAATTAAATCAGGATTAGATAGTCTTAATGAAAGACAGCTTCCTGGACAATTAACTCAAAGCCTAAGGTAAATGACAAACGAGGACGTTACTTTTCCATTTTTGTTGACTGGGTTAGTTCAAGTAGAGCACGTTACTGCTCCAACGACAGTTGTTCTGTAACAAAGGCATCTTGGGTGATAAAGATTTATAGTGCCTAACAAGATGTCTGGAACATGGCAACACAAACATGCAGGAAAACAAAAAAAAAATGTATGAAATAAATTTAACTAAAGCATTAAGGAAGAAGGAGGCCTGACAAAAGCTAAGTCAAAGGGGTTTTGTTAGTTTTCATAGAGAAGTCACACTAATTATTTCAAGGAAGGATCAGAATTAATAAAATATGAAGTGACATGTTATGGTATGTCACTTTAAGTTATAATTTAATCATTTATTTGGGGAAATATCTGAAAGGTTCTATGAAGCACAAACCAATGCTAAAGCGATTCTAATCCCTCGTCAAATATATATTGCCTATGTGAAACAGAACAGCTCAGTGTTGAAACTACAAACACACTAATAGTTGTCATTTCGGAGCTAAAGTAAGACTAAAGGAAACCGCAGTTTGAAAAGCAAAGATTTAACCAGTATTAGCAGAAAACACTGATTCAGGGAACTAATTGGTGTTAAGTGGCAGAAACAAGGCCCAAATTTGCCCAAGTTTGTACAAAACCTCTCAGATAGCTGCACTTTCCCATAAGGGGCAAGGTAAATCCAGTTAATTAATAGTTTTCTTATTGATAATATAATACTGTTAACTACAAAATTGCACCATCCATTTTAGTTAATACTAAAACTTGACAAATAAAGGGAAGATGTATTTACCAAAATCCCTAAATTTTAACAGTCTCCTGGCATTAAGCATGTTAGCACTAATGGGCCTATCAGAGGAAATTTTTTGAAGCCTCAATTTAATGATGTTCTAAGAGTATTTTTCACAATCATACTAGGGATAACAATACTGAAGTGTTCAACCTCCTTAAAACTCTATTCTTGCCATCTCCTGCCCGTGGGAAAGACACTTTAATGGCAATTTTCTATAAAAATTTTCAAAGGAGTTGCTTATTTTTTTTCAGGAACTTGGTAATAGGGATATATATGAAGTCAGAAGCCAAAAGGAAAATGACAAAAAAAAAATTGATGTATAAACATCTTGGCTTTGCAACATACTGACTGAAATCTGGAAAATGCAGGTCAAGAGTCTAAGCTGATGTCTACATAAACCGAATGGGAGAAATATCATCAGTGAGGCAGGGAGCTGTACGAATTAAATGGATAACATTTATGAAGTATCTAGGACTTGCTAAGGCAGGTACAGCATTTCCGGCACACTATGCCACCTGAGAACTTTTACGTTAACAATGTGATTTATGATAGTTTGTTATTAATTTGTTATTAATTGATTAATATGAGATAAGTTTTTTAATACTTAAGTTTTTGAAGATATGCACAACAGTGATTTTAATTCACAGTCTTCAGTCTCATCTTAGCTCACAACCTATTGTTAGTACAATACTTCAGAGAATTGTTAGATTCTGTGAAATAAGATTACAGTAAATTTAGTATGTTTTATTTTGAAAGTGTTATTTAACAATTTGGCCATAGAAGGATATTCTTAAAAAGTTTCTAAAATTTATACGAAATAAACTATATGATATATCCATACAAAGATGAGCTTATGTTTGTATATATCTTTATACAAATATTTTATATTTGTATATATAAATGTACATAAAAATGCATGGGTACAAAAACAGGAGATAATTAAATCCACATGCATGTACAAATATTTGAACTCAGGTCTTCTTTGCCTTTAGAAATTTAGTAATAAGTATTAAGGGGTAGAAGAAATGGAAATTTTTGAAAACTCTAGAATAAAAAAGTAAGCACAACAATACAGTTGCAATAAAAAATGCAGTCAGCAGTTTTACTGGGACCAACACTACCATTATAAAAATTAGAGGCAAAAAAAAATAAGAGGCAGAGAAGTCAGCTGTAATTGCTTCTTCTCACCTCTACATTTGGATGAAAATGCTAGCATTTCTACATCTGTGGAGGTATCAGTCAATGGGCTTGATCAGTCTCAGATTGACATTTATTAATTTTCATATATATATACATATATATATATATATATGAAGATGACTGACTACCTATATCAATACCTATAAAATCATTAGTTGATCCTATCCTTTAAACATTAAAGATACGTGGAATTTGGAATAATTTGTGAAACATTTGTATTAAAAATGAGATAATATTAAATGATGCAACTCGAGGCATGACCTTTTTAAAAGCTCTGACACTTCCCCTTGATATGTACAAGAAATTAAGAGGCACCATTTTATTTAGACTACTGGTGTGCATCCAGGCACGAATTAGACCCACAAATAGAAAAGTATGTATGAATCTTTTCTCCTTTCTTAGGAAAAGAAATAGACAGAAATAGAAGAAAATTTACAGAACTTGTAAATAATTCATTGCTATTTAGAAACATTTGCTGGGATGAACAGCTTACAAGCCTGAAGAGTTTAGAGTAACAAATGATTTAAGGTAATTTAAAAACCTTTATGATTTTCTATTTTAACATCAGTTGATACACAGAATTAACATCTCCTCATTTATCATGTGGCCCTACAAAATAAACTCAATAATGATTAGCAGCTGGATAATTTTAGATGAGTCCTTTTTAAATAATTCTTGCTAGCCCAGTCATGATCACATATTCAATCAGAACCATGTGTCCTGCAGGAATACAATGAATCCTAAAATTCTCTCTGTATTGCAGGAGAGGCTTTTGTACTTTTTTTCCTTTTCGTTTTTTCACACTTGGGAGAATGCCGCTCTTCTCACTAGTCTGCTTCTCAATATTCAGTTGACTTCAAACTGACAGCAATGATTAGCTAGCTAGACTCTACTAGTAATCCTTAAAGAGTTATTTTCATCAAATTTGAAATTCAAGATACAAGCCTACCATACTGCATCATGCTTTAAGCAAAGGAGTATACCATCCTCTCTCCTCTAAGTAACTTTAAAAGGTATTACATGCATGTATGCCTGTCCTCTGAAGAAGTTTGTTTTTCAGCATCTCTGAACTAGGAGGGGCAGGGGCATTAAGAAACCTGAAGCCAAGCCATTAAAAACGAACTGAAAACATTTAAATAAAAACAGACAGAACATAAAGGATAGCAAGTTCCAAAAGGAAATGTTTGAAAGGCTAAAGCAACAAAACCACAATCACGAACACAGTAAACCTGCCACACACGGGAGATCAGAGCTTTCGTGACTAGACAGGTGTTTAAGTCCGCGTGTGAAGAGGCTGAGCTCACAATGGGCTTTTGCAACCTGAATTGGAGAAACTGGTTCCTCGTTTTTTTATGGGTGTGAAAATATTTCCAACGAGGCTCACCAGTCTTGAATTTTTTAATATACCGAGGTTGAAGTGGTCTGCTTTGAAGAAAATGTTTTTGAAATCTTTGCCTAACCTCCATATGAAATAATGTCGCTTTTGAATGGCTGGGGAATTCTATGTGTCGTGATAATACTGCCAAGGGAGAGACGGAATAGCGGAATGGAAAGCGGATCGTCACACACAGTCACCATCACCAAATCCTTGTATTTACCTGGTCATGTGTAGGCATTCTGCACTTCGTCCTCGTTTTGCTCTGGGCAGCATGAGAAGCTCACTGCACAGACAGGATGGGTGGTGGGTGAGACAGATAAATCATGAGGCATTAAATGACAGGGGTTGTGCCAATGGAATGCCAATGAAAACATGAAAAGGGGGAGAAACCAGATTGTCTGCACTAGCGTACTTGCTTGAGAGGTTAAACAAAAAATAAACATGACAGCATTAAAAAATTCAAACAATAGAATACAAACATTATGGTTGAAGTCCTAATTGCTGCTGACTGACTACTTAGTGGTTCAGAACAATTTTATGAAACATAAAAAGGTTAGAAAAACAGTCTTTTCCCCAAAAAGTATAGGCACACATTTCCAAATACAGTTATTTCAGCAACTAAAATGCCTAACTTTGACCTTTCAGATATTAATGGAAAATAATTGGTTTTATTTCTTTTTTAGAAACTTAGCAACATGATCATTTCCTAGTCACCAGTAGCCACTAACAATGTGTATCATATTATGTTTTTTCTTAACTAGGGTTTTTATTCTATAATCCAATTATTTTAAATATGTTGGTTTCCTCGGCCATGGAGCCCATTGTTGATTGTAATCCCACTACCATTCACGGGACCCAGAATAGTGTTGCTATGCAGGACCCACTCACTCATTCAACTGAGCAATAAGCAATACTATTCCTTAGAGCAATTCTGTCCCCCGGTATCCAATGAGATTCACACTTGACGGTCACAGCAGCACTTCCCATAGTAACCTAAGATGCTCAGCTTGGGCTTAGTGTTCTTGAGTCCTTCACATCTGTCATTCAACACCACTCTCTTTGCGCTAGCCCTCCCTGAACTTTCCTCCACTTCAAAACACCAGCAGAGAACATTCAACAAGGTGAGTTTCATTCAACTTTAACTCCAATCCTGCACTATACCTAGGCTAATCCAGCACATCCATGTGGTTACTTTGATGAGAATGTCTGTGGGCATGAAGAAAAATACGTTTATTATATAGATTCCAACTACCAATTTCCACACGATATTTGTTCATTAATAAGTGAAGAACTAATAATGTATACATCCATATAATAATCTGTCTGCATATTTAGTATTTCACCGAGACCTATGAGAAGACACTTGATAAGAAAGTGGTATATAACAAAACATTACTGACGTTTTCAGAGTCTGCAGTGAAAACAACCTTTACGATGACCATTATCAAAAACACTTTAATTAGATAAACAATGTAACTTTTATAATTACAAAAATACAATAATCCAAATGTGACCCATGGAGAAAAGTTATTCAAAATTGTTCACGTAGCCTTTCTTTTAAAATTTAGGTCAAAATCCAAGTCAATGAAACTTCACAACTAGATAAGCATGACTAAGAAAATATGAATATTAGTATAACCTTGACTGAATAACTTCGAGATTTGCATATGTTTAAGAATATCAAAACTGTTTGAGAGTTCAGTTTTGACTGATGCAATTTTACTCTTTCATATATCATGCTGCAATATTTGTATATATTAAAACAGAACATAGAAAGATCACAGGACTGTGATTATACTTTAGAAAAGTACCTGTCTTGCTCCGATGAATACTGACTTTCCATATGTCTGGATCTGTGATCGACTGGACTTCGGGAGGCATCATGGTGTCTGGTTGGAGAACGTGACCTTCGTGTTGGATGAATTTCATCTAAGCTCCTAAAATATTCGACAAAAATTCACGTGACAAAGTATTTTCCCAAACTATCAACAGACTAAAAGGTAGAAAAAGGAACTGTAACAGGCTAACAAATGATCTGGTTTAAAAATGCTAACATAACACCACAGCCAATTTTCCTCAGTGAACTAAGAGAACAGACTCTCAGTTTTGCCTGTGTTGCATTTTTCCAACCTGGTTTTATATCTGTATTAAAAGGCCCATGATGTTATCTGTATAATTACAGCTTCAGAAGTATGTTCAGAGTCAGATGAAATAGAAAATACACACACACACACACACAGAGAGAGAGACAGTCAGAGAGAGACAGAGACAGAGAGAGACAGAGAGGGAGGGAGGGAGAGGGAGGGGTCAGGGAGAGAGAGAGAGAGAAAGAGAGAGACAGAGAGAGAGACAGAGAGAGAGAAAGAGAGAGACAGAGAGAGAGAGGTCTTCCAGCACTTAAACTGCTTCAAAGAGATAATATTGTATGTCTTTATAATCTCCTGTCAGAAAACTGTCGTTGTTCATTCTTTCTTCCAGTATTAAACTTTTCGAACCCATGTGGGATGAGCTAGGACTCCGCTAACAAATGACAAAATGCCTTAACTTGATTAGCTAAACCATTGATTGCAGTTATTAATCTAAAGTAGAATCCACTGTAATAGAAGAAAGAAAGAGCTGTCAAGAGTGTTAACCTGCTCCCAACCTACCTCTGTAATGGCACATTTGGTAAACGTGAACGCGGCCTTCCCTGATCATCGCCGCGATGAGGAGACACCGAACGTGAGCGGTGATGAGTGGTTCTTTGCTGCTCTGGCACTGTTAATGTTGTGGCTTTACTTTCTCTAGCACTAGATCTATAACCCACTGACAAAAGTATATGGAGAAAAAAAAAAACTTGTTAGTACTTTGTATGGCATAAATTAACATGGAAATGATGAAATTATACCAAAGCAGCCACCAACCTTCTAATGTTAAATGCCATGCAATCAGTATTATTAGTGTTATTGCCCAAAGCTTTGCATCTCTGTACAAAACGTGTAAGCTAAGACATGCAGAAGAACACGTTACAGTGAGGCTCAAAGGTACCATGAAGATACAAAACAGTAACATGACAGTCTATGCCTCAGACATTATGATGAATTGGGGCACAATTTTAATTTAAAAAAACAAATGAGTTAGTGACTTTCCAGCAACATAAACCAAGCAGCCAGAGAACTATAGTCAATACACAAGCCAATGATTAGATCTGGTGTTTCTTCAAATTTAATTAATTAATTATTCTTTCTTTTCTTCTGTGTGTGGTATATATTTCTGTGTGCATCTGCGCCTGTGCATGGGTATGTGTGTGTATGTTTGTGCAGATGCCCATGTATGAGTATATGTGTGCATGGAAAGGCCAGAGGTCATCATGAAATAGCTTCCTCTACTGTGATTCACCTTATTGAGAAAAGGCATCTCACTGACCCTGGAGACCATCTATTCTGCTTGGCTGCCTGACCTGTGAGCTCCAGAGATCCTCCTGTCTGGACTGCCTCAGCGTTATGTTCACAAGCGCATGCCAACATATCAGTCTGGGTGTGTGTTGCAAACTTTATGGACTGAGTCATCACTCCAACCCCAGAATTGTTCTAAAGGATAAACCACTTGGTCGTAATACATATGTAGTCATCACAAACGTTCTAACCATTTTAATTGGATATAAAAACATCCCACACTCATTTTAATGAACAAAGAAGAGCAGCTGCTCTTGACTATGGCAGACCCTGGTTGTGACGTTTGCAGCCAATAAATACAAATTTCAAAGGAACACAGTGTATGAGCGGAGACCCTGATGACAATGAAACAGAGACTGTTAGACTTCGAAGTCATCAAACCTATCTAGGATATCTAAAACTAGCCCTTCATTGTGTTCATGAACCATCGTTAAATGAACACCGTTAACCCCACTGCACAGAAACACCAATTGTGATGTATTTGGGGTAAAATAATCTGTGTTATTTCTCGTTTGATTCAGACTGAAAAGTCTGAAAGCCAAGATAACAGCTCACAATTTAAGAGTGGTGTTTTTCTATGTTTTTATCATGATCATTAATTTTCATTAGTGCAAAGAAAATAGAAAACAATGTATGGTGGAAACACATGGTACTTTAATTTTCGACTGCATAGTAATTACATGAATCATCAACATTTTAAAATCTGACTTTATATTTAATGTTACTATATCTATATATCCACTTATAATAAAGTTTACCTATTTTAATAATTATTTATAATTTATTTTTAATTATAGTATAGTCATTTTAGTTATATAAAAATAATATATAGATTAATAGTCATATTTTGCTTAATTTATTTTTTTGATTACTTGGTTTTGCCTTATTGGCTGCACACAGACTGCCTTAAGTTATGAGTTAAATAAAAGAGGCAGTTGACTTGTATCTTAATTTTTTTATTTATGCAGTTATAAATTAGAGGTTTTATTTTCATTTCCTGAACTTATGAAGATGCTCCAAAAGTGGAGGATGCCACCCTTTGAATAACGGCATTCTGCATATGGGTTTCATTCTTCTTAAGCAGCTGGAAGTACTAAGTTTACAAAACCCTAGGATTAACTGCTGTACAGGCTAAGATTTTAGTGGCTATTAAGTACATGAGGGATGAGGAAGCATGAGACTTGGTTGTTGTAGAACATTGTGAATGAAGCTCTCAAGCTTCCCCAGGCCATCTACAATCAGCAACTTCCTTCTGTCTTCACACAGGATGTTAGAAATGCAAGAGCAAGTTCATAGTCACATAGAAGTATCAGGAGCACATTGTGCTCATTAACTTAATCCCCTCACTTCATGCTCACTTATCTACATTCTATCAATGCTTCATCGTTCTTCTACTAAAAACTATCATGTGTATTGGTTCATAATATACATATCTTTACTAAATTATGTTTGTTCCATGTATCTTTGGATGGTCCCTGTATCTTTATATTGGATCAAAAGAAGTAGATGTCTGGAATTTTTAGGAAATTGATGATTCTGCCCACTAGTTAATAAAGTGAGATCTGAAACATCAACTGTTACTTGTTATATAAATTCTTATCTCTCAGGCTGGTCATTTAATTTACAACACAATTTGAAGCAACAGGTTAAGCATCAGATTTCTATAATAAAGATTGTATGTGTTACCAAACACTAGGACAACTATAATACATTTGAGTAGTGGACAGAGGTATATTTATAATTCAGTGTTTTATAAAAGGTGTCCAAGTCATAATCTCGTGAGTAGTGAGTTCATCACACATGCTGACTTCTCAGGAGCCACAATGTACGATGTACATGTTTATCTGAGACAAAGGATGAGAAGCCCACCACTTGAATAAATGTTTTTAGCTGGCTATTCATTCATCTTCTACTGCCTCATTTTAAAAATTGAAAAAGGTGGTACAACATGGGAAATACCCATAGTAGCAAATTGTATTTACATAAATTTGTAATAATTTTAAGGCTGATCAACCCCAATAAATATTTGATTACTTTCTTACCAGCAATACTCTCATTCATATGAATTTAAATGTGTCAATAGACTTAAATTTATAATCCTTTTAGCAATTAGATTTCATTCAATTTTACAATTTTCTATCCTGTGAAATAGTGTTTTAATAATATGCATAATTATTATGATCATTAAAAATAAAATCTGCAAATAGAAAATGTTACTCACTATTATACAAAACTATTCATTCATAATCTAGTCTCAGCCATAGAACTGTTGATATAACAAATAAGTACCTCTTTGAAAGACAGATAACAAATATGTGATCTTAGAAAATTCTCTGTATTTTTTTATCATATTCTGAATGAAGTTCTATGCACCTTTCCAAAAACATGAACTCTCTCCCTAGTGCTGATACTACCAATTTTATTAAGACCACCCTCCTTGAACTAAGTGCACCCCCAAGGCAGTCATTGCATAAACAAAGGGCACACATGCCGGTACTGTCCTAACCAACTCCCTTTCATTCCTATATGCTGCAATCTCTCTTTCCATTTTCAGTGGAACAGCCTGATCCCCCTTTCTAAACAGAGGGAATCAAACAGGACTAACACAAAGAATGCTGAGTGTCCCTTGATCTTAAGTACTTTTCTGACAGCTCAGAGGGGAAAACGTGAATCTAAACTTTCACATTTCACGAAACTTTTGCCAACTTATACAAAGACAAGAAGACAAACACTTGAAAGGAATGGTGACTCTTTCTAGCACATTGTCTTACTTCGAAACACACACACACGTATAAGTAGTGAGCACACCACAAAAGCAATAAAAGCTACAGCCATGCCACATGCAATTTTAAACCCTGCCATGCACCTTTCTCAGTATATTCCATGGAAGGCTATGGTATTTTGAGAAATGGGGGAAGGAAAATCATAGAAATACAATATAAAACACAGGAGAATGGAATTGGATGTAATAAAGTTAACAATATCCTTTCATAATGAAATCCACATTTCCACAATGCTCAGAGTATTGTGAAATAGTGGCTTTTGTTTATCCTACTTAGGCATACTTTTACGGGAGAACCTGACTATGTCAATTAAATAGAGTGTGAATTCGGAGATGCTCGTCCATTTTAAACATTGTTAACAATTTGAAACTCAAGTCACCATGGAATAACTAAATACTGATGCTTCTGCACTAAAGACCTCTAGTTCAGCATCCGGAAGGAGGCTGGAAGTGGGCAGCGGAATCAAGCAGACAGAGTGAAGCAGAGCCATGCTCTTCACCACGCACCTGGAGGCACTACTCCAATACCATCATCAACCTCATAATCTGAGATGTCACTATCACTGATTCGCTGAGATCCTGCACAACAGTAAGGCAAACAGAGACCTCTGTGTCTACTCGGTTTACGACATGCAAAGGACATAATTGAACAAGCATAATTCAAAGTAAACGCTGGTCTGGTTTGTCGAGAAACATGTTTGCTTTTAAAAAACAATAGCTTTTAGAATTTCCTCCATATGAAATCCACTGAAGGGCTCTTAGGGGATATAATTTGATTCATGTCCTTCTTAATTTTAAATGCTGCACTGAAAGATATAATGAAGTGCATACACATTGCCCTGTAGGGAGAAGAGTGAGGCTGAGGGAACAGCCTCAAAGACCTACCTTGTCAGCCATCTGGCACACCTCAGGATGCTTCAAAAGCATCAAGTCCATCGTTTAACCATATGTTTATTAGCCATGCTACTGGTGAATATTAATTTTGAGGAAATTATTGGTCAGGGAACTACTGACATATTATATTCAACAAAAAGGCAAAAACCTGAATCAAGGTGACCAAAACAATGCTTCTAAGTTTCATCTGTGGCAGCACTTATGTACATGATAACCCAAAAATATTACAGAGAGAATGAATCTTCCTAATTACCAATGCAGAGAAATAAACTTATAATGATATCATGGCTTAAATATATATTGTTCTTATCGATTAGATTAAAATACCCTAAACATGATCAAGCTATTATGACTTTATATGTAGCCACCCACTACTAAAAAGAGAATCATTCCATCACTCAGCCCCTCAATGTTTCCAACAATGTGCAAGGTGGTCCCTGGGAGACTTGGAGCTTTCATCTCTCACTCCTCTGTACTACAATAGATCATTCTATTGTGACATGTAGAAAATAGCACAGCTAAATCTCCTTTATACAGATGAGCAATTCCCTACTAGTCTGCTCTACAACAAAACTATTGCAAAGCTATCTTTCTGAGCATCTATCCCTAAGAAGAACCCAGAAATGCCATTACTGTCTGCCAACTAAAATGAAGTTTACCTACTTTGTAGCTTTTTGCTGGAGCTCTCTCCGTGGATATGCCGCCTCGGCAGAAACGGCGATGGGTGAGGCAGAGGTAGTGAGGATTCATCATGTGTCTGGAGTTTATACCAATGGGGTTCGTCATCCAAAAGCGCTGTCTCCAGCTCTATGAGGATCTGAAAAGGCAGTTCTCAAATGAAACACAGGCCGCAAGGTCTCGTGACTAATATATGCCAACAGCCCCAGCACGCAGCTGACTTGACTCTAAACATCACCTCTCCAAGAAATTCACTCTCTTCCTCTTGAACTCTTGGCTGATCCCACACAGTAATTTCCAACATTCGCTCCCGGAAATCTCTACGATGTACATGCGAGTAGACAAACGTTTGGTTCCATTTGGGTTCTAGAATTTTCTTTACAGTTTTGGTCCTCCTTTTACTTTTGTCGCTGAGAAATAAAGAGGTTTCCAAAATGAGCAAGTGAAACCAAGAACGTGCTGCTCTCTAGTGTAGTCATGTGTCATTTCAACCAGGATTTCCACGCTTCTCCCTTATCTTTCTCTGTAGTAAGCTTGTTCTTTGATAACTTTATTCACGTAGGTATGGCATTCTGTTTACTATCTGCCTCCACCCACTTACCTCATCCCGTTCCCTATAAACCTTCCCACTCAACTCCCTACGTGTCCTTTTCTGAGATTTGTGACTTTTTGTTTTAGAACCCCTGAGTTTAACCAGAGCTGCCTCTGTACCCGCTGGCTTGTGCTCCCAGACAGTAGAAAACGGAAGGGAAACTTTGGCAATCTGAAATCTTTCTGGAGCAAATAGTTCATCTATGGGGAATAGAGTCCTTGAGCCCCAATCCATACCTGACTGATGAATGATCTCCCTCCATGTGTGTGTGTGTGTGTGTGTGTGTGTGTGTGTGTGCTATATATGTATGTGTGTTCTGCGTGTTGTGTAAATATGTGTGTGTGTTGTGTGTAAGCATGTGTATGTGTTGTATGTGTGTTGTATATGTATGTGTGTTGTGTGTCTTTGTGCTCTGTGAATGCCTGTGTGTTCTGTGTGTGTATGTGTGTGTGGTACATGAATGATGTGTGTGTGTGTGGCATGTGTATCTGGCCTGTGTGTATGTGTGTATGTTTGTGTGTGTCCAGTGCAGGCAAACTCAAACTCTGAGTTCAGGACTAAAAATGTTTCATCTCACCTAGAATTTGGAGCTTTACAACATATCTATGTATATCTTTTGCAGTATGTGCATTGATTTATTCTATAATGGTCCACAAGCCTTAGAGGGGATTGTATGACTGTCCTGTAATGACTGAACAACTGAGTTGTCATGTATTATCAGTGTCTTCAGATGAGGTTCAAACCCATGTGTCATCAAGCTAGAGCAGTGTTCTGCCATTGAACTCTATTTCTAGCACATCTTTTTTCCTGTTTATTTTATAGCATCAAAATCCAAAATGATCCCATAGGGCATAATACTGCTATTATTTAAAAGAACTAACTCCAACGATATATTCAAGCAATGGTTCTGATGTAGGTCATATATATAAGGTACATTCTTAATGTTGTTTCTCTACTAATAAGCATATTTAAAAGTACCATATTATTTTCAATATTTCAATAATATTTCATATTATTATACATTGTCTTCAGGGACAAGACAGTTTAATTCCTACGGGGGATTACTTACTATAATCAGAAAATACATCCCAGAAAGGAAATCCTATCTTTCTAATTAATACCGAGTTTAGTAAACCTTTCAAGAAATCATCCATTACCTTCTATCTGGAAGAAAATACATTTTTACATAGGGATTCCTGGGGCGCCCATCTCCTCTAGGGGGTAGATCAGTTGCCTGTAGAACATTTACAATCAGCTGGTGCCCCACTTTATCATACCACAGCTTGACCTAGGAGAGATGCACAAAGAGGCTCCTATTATTCAAAATTATGAGATAATAGAAATTTGCATAGCTCTATTTAAAGGATGATGCTTTGACTTGAAGTGTCCTGGAATTACAGTGATTTGAAACCACAGCCATCAAGAAGTTAACTTTTCCCTTTAGTATTGCATCTTGTGTATAACTCAAAATCTGCAAACCTGACATCTTCAGGCATGGAAATGCAACTGAGGTGGAATATTATTTTTTACCAGGCAACGATGTGTTCCATTTGTCTATGATCTACAATATTACTTCAACTGTGTAAAGGTGTGTTCCATTTGTTTACAATGCATTTGTTTAACTATGCAAAGATATGTTGCTTTTTCACCTTGCCTGTCTAAGGTACCTGATTGGTCTAATAAAGAGCTGAATGGCCACAGCTAGGCAGGAAATTGATAGGTGGGGCTGGCAGGCAGGGAGAACAAACAGGAGGAGAAATCTAGGAAAGAGAGGAGTGAAAAGAGGAGAGGGGAGAAAGAAAGGGACACGCCCAGGGTGAGAAGCCAGCAGCTGTCAGACAGACATGAGAAGTATAGTATGCAGAAGAAAGAAAAGTAAAAGGCTTCAAGGCAAAAGTAGACAAAGAAAAACAGTTAATTAAAGTTAAAAGAAAGATCCAGAAACGAAGCTAAGATAAGCCAAGCATTCATAACTAATATTAAGTCTCTATCATGACTTGGGAGCTGGATGGTGGCCCAGAAGAAAAGTCTATACATACAAATAATCTAACTTTTTTTAATTTTAGAAATATTGAAGTCATCATAACACTTTTTTTTATATCAAACACAAGAGTTGGTTATTATCAAAGCTTTAATGTTAGGGTTGGTAAAAGTACTTTCCAAAGAGCAGGCCAGGTAAATGGGAGCGTTTGGAAGGAGGAAGGGGAAAGGAGAAATTATGAAATCATATTATAACACTAAAAATAGAACGAAAATGTTTAAAGAAAGTGTTTTCTAGTTCTATGGGTAGCTGGAATAAGAGCAGATTAAGATAGTCAGGGAACGTATTTTCCACAGGCGCATGCTGCACCAGGTAGACTTTGCTGTTTCCTAACATTTTTCTCTGTTATAAGCTAGCTATCATGAGAGAAAGGAAAATCAAAGGGAAGGCTTAACACATAAGTGACAGATCAAATATCATGAAGGCTGAGTGACACTTCTGATAATGAATTCTTCATGCTGCAGCCAAATGGTGAAACACAAGGTGACCTCAAACTGGATCTGAACACAAAGGGCAGAGTTCATACCGGAAGGAAGAACAAGCCACTAAACTCCTGGTGCTCACTTCAACTCGGACTTTGAATCTAAAAGTTACTTTATCACAGCAATGAAAAGAACAAGGGTTTGGAGATGCATGAATCCAACCCTCCATTTTGTTTTTTACACAAACCAACTTGGGTTTTAGCCCCCATTTAATGGTGTAGGTGAAGAGCCAGGGATAAGTACAAAAAAAAATATGTCCAAGCAGCTAAGCAAAACAGGCTATGCTATTTCTTATAAGGAGGATCTGGGAACAACAATGACTATAAATTTATTTCCTTTGACTTATCAATCAAAAGAGCATCAAGAGGGACTAGAGAGAGTCACACAGCACTAAAGATTAAAAACTCAACTACTCATAGGACAATCTGAAGCATGATTTCTTCTTCGTTATTAATACAAATATCTCAGTTTCTATTTTTAATCTCTGAGCTATTTATAACACTTGGTCAATTTATTTTTCCAGGTTTCCCAGAGTAAACCCACAGAAAATATGTTGGTCACTGTGTTTGAATATCATCTGCGCTGTTTGTTCACAAACAAATGCCCTAAGAAGATAATGAGATTTTTATAAAATTTAAGTTTCTTAGGTCTAGGATCATAAAGTGCTTAAGATGATTGAATGTGACTTTCTATGAAAGTATGTGACTACTGATTTACCATGGAACATTGATGTAACATACCAGAAGTATGAATATTTTTCCAGATGCTACCATTTACCAATTACTGTTTAGAGCACTTAGCACATTGTAAACATCCAATAAATATTTGTAGCCAATATATGTAACTGGAGGAAAAGCAGAAGAGATATACCCACAGTGATGATGTGGATGATAATGTCAAATGACTATGTGTTCACTGGAGGCTCTGGAAAGTCAGGCAATTCAGAGAACAAACCCTAATGCCATTTACTGAGTATAAAAGGTACATACAGAGAGTTGCCCAGGTAGGACTTGCGGGGCATCTTTCAGAGCTCCAGGGCTGGTTGGAGAAATAACAGAAATGGAAGGCCTTTCCATCTTCTGAGATTCAAAGGAACTTGAACCTAAAATGAGAATAAAAATGAACAAGGGTTAGTGTAAGGAATACATTTTTGAACAAAAAGGTAATTGTACCTGTAATTTGAATGAAGACATAGTTAATACTATCTGATGTGGGATTTTCTTTTCATGTGATAGCTCAAGAATGTTCTTTTCATCTTCCTTGGTTAACTATCTACTTTATGATATAATAAGATCCTGTATTCATTTGTTTCAGCCTAAAAGATCTTATCCACATGTTGAAGGAAATTGTTCTCTATCAGCTCTGTTATAAATTACATCACTGAACAAGTTGTCTGATGTCATTACCAAGAAGATGATACCTGTTGTGTTAATAATCGTCCCTGATGAACACTTGCAATGTACTGTCTCCAGTGACAAACTGAAATAATTTATGAGCCACATTTAAATTCAGTTTCATCACTCTTTTAAAAATGATTACATCTCTTAAATGTTATATCACAAATAAATCTCTCAAACTTCTGAGAATAGTATTTCTCAGTAATTTACTGCTGGAGATCCCCTTCACTTTCGTGAAAACCTCTATGGAGGTTGCTGTTGCTCTGTGCTCAGGCATATGAGAAAACCGAGACGCTAGGAAACGCAATTATCTATTAGGTTCTTGAATACTCAAAAATTCAGTAAAAAAATTTGGTAAGTGCTTCATCGAGAAATCCTGTGGAATTGCACTTTACCCACACGATTCTTTTCTATAGTCTGTGAATGGAAGCTGTGTCCAGAAAGATGAATTGAAACTGCATTGATGTAGAGGGGTACGGATGTTACAGGTCCAAAAGCTACCTTCCTGACCTTGTACCATCTTTAGCACCTAGAACAGTCATTTCTTGCCCTCTTCCTTGACAGAACTAACATCCTGTAACTAATAGATTAAAAACCTTTGAAATCTAGTTTCAACTGCCCCAAAACAGCCATTCCTTGCCCTCTTCCTTGACAGAACTAACATCCTGTAACTAATAGATTAAAAACCTTTGAAATCCAGTTTCAACTGCCCCAAACAGCCATTCCTTGCCCTCTTCCTTGACAGAACTAACATCCTGTAACTAATAGATTTAAAACCTTTGAAATCCAATATCAACTGCCCCAAAAGCTAAGACTGCTATCACATAGCATCATTTTTTAAAAGTAGTATTGTTGTTTCAATTAGTATTTCATTGATTAGTGTTTGAAAATTGGCTTGTTTATTGGTTGTTTGTGGTTTTTTTTATTTTTTAAAAAGAAAACAAGCTACTTTTTATTTTAAATTTTACATACCAACCCTTGTTCCCACTCCCTCTCCTCCTCCTATTTTTTCCACCTTTCCTCCACCCCCATCCACTCCTCAAAGAGGGTAAGGCACATTGTTTTGAGGAAGGATCAAGGCCCTCCCTACTATATCTACGCTTAGCAAAGTATCCATCCAAAGAGAATGGGTTCCAAAAAGCCAGTTCAAGCAATAGGAATAGATCCTGGTGCCACTGGCCTCGTAAGTCAATAGAAAAGCTTTCTCCATCTTTCTGTTACCACCTCTCTGATGTACCCAGCTATGCATTTTAAACTTTTCATAATTTATTAACTTTCTTGGTTCCATAAATCTATACAAGTACAGGAGAGTGCTTCCATGTTGGAACATGGAATTTGGGGTTACCTAAATTTGTGTTCACTAAAAATGGCTCCAGAATAAACTATTTCCTATTCTCTGTAAGAAGAGAGCAGTGTCTTTTGTGTCAGTCACTCAAAAATGAGGATTCAATGAGGCCACTTCCATCATTTTATGCCCTGAAAAGGAGACTTTTAAGTACATGGAATACAGCTACAAAATGTAATTTCTCTTTAATCAGGCTTCTTTAGCCTAATTTCACTAAGCATTTTAGGTCTTAGAATATGCCTCTTACAATAATGCTGGCTTATAAAAGTGAGTTTATTTTTAATTTTATCTAAAGTATTATTATTTATGGGACTTTATCCATGTATTTCTTAGTATTGGTCATCAGAAAACCCAAAACTGAGTCTGGTCCCAGCACCAAGAGGTATGGGATCATGATGGTAACTTGGCCACTGGTCCCTTCTTCAGTATGGTCATTTCTTCCGTTCTCATCACCAATTATCCTTAAACCAACTTAAGTATATAGAATAAATTCTGTAATAAGACCTAAAGAATCAAGCCCCTGTTTTAATTGAATGCCCCAAATTTCCAGATTATTAACACAATTTCATTATCTACAAGTATCATTAACATAAAATATGATCTTATCCCATCCTGAGTGACTCTACTTATTATTCAGATAATTCTTTCACCACAGTACACTAACAGTTCTGTCACACACCGCATCAGTGACCTCTATTACACCCATGGACTCCTGATATCATGTGACACTATCACGTGGTGGTATGACAATTATTCATTGTTGTGTCTCGACTGGTGAATCTCAACCTTCCTAATGCTGCAACCTTTTAGTTCAGTTTCTCATGTTGTGTGCTTCCAACCATAAAATTATTTCCATTGTTACTTCATAGCTGCAATTTCACTACTGTTATTAATCTTAATGTTAATACGTGTGGTTTCAGAAGGTCTTAGGTGACCCCTATAAAAGGGTCATTTGACCCTCAAAGGGATTGTGACCCACAGGTTGAGAACCACTAGTCAAAACTGTTTCTGAGACTGTTTATCAAGTAATCTGAATAGTCGAGTTTCACAATAACTATCTCTCTCTCTCTCTCTCTCTCTCTCTCTCTCTCTCTCTCTCTCTCTTTCTACCTACCTTCCTACCTACCTACCTATATTTTGTTTTCTCGAGACAGATTCCTACCAAGTAGCACAGGCTAGTCTTAAACCAGCAATTTCCTGCCTCTGTAATTCAAGATATGACATTTGAAACATGTGTCATAACACCGAGCCCACAATAATTTTTTCTGTACAGTTTACAGATTTACTCCTAGTAACAGTTCAATGCCAGAATCAGGCCTCTGCTCGGGTTTTGGCCCAGTCACAAAAGCGCATCAGGTGCCAGGATTTCTTACCAGAAGAGCTAGTTAACATCAAAGGGGGTATTGGCTCCATCATTTGTTCCTCCCACCCTACTCCCTTCTTTGTCTCTTGACTGGAAATCAGAGGGCCTGGCTGCAAGCTCCTGATCTTGAGACCTCCTCCATCCTCAGAAAGTTGTAAGAAGAGAATCCCACTCTCCCCAACTTCTGCCATGCAGGCTCTGACTCTGGCTTGTCCCTGCTCTGCCATCTGCCTCTGATACTGGGGTCTCAACTCTCCATAATGCTCTCAACAAGCTGTGAGGCTCTGCTGTCTATTCATAGAACTAATAACTTTTCTAACAAACTCTTTACCCCCCAATCATCAGTCCCTCAAAACACCTGCCTCAAACATAACAATTCCAACTTTATATTATAAAGAAGGATATTGAAACAAAGATTTCGGTGTGGCCACAAAAATGAGCAGAACAAAATTGTCAGTAAAGAGCCATCTTTTAGTTATTTGCAACATCTGACATTAGTGAAGACAGTTGTTTATATCAAATGACTTAGGAAAGCAATCAATCTTGTTTTCTAAGTTAGTTTAATATATTCTAATAACAAGGAAATGTTATTACTCACTGGATTCCAGGGGAGGATGGGAACTCTCAGGGATCCGGGGGATGTCACTAAAAGAAACATGTACAGTGAAAATCCAATCAGGTATACTACCCTGCCTGAGGCAACCACAGCCTATTTTATTTCAGTGAGGGAAGAGTCCTTTGGGGGCCTTTAGGGCATAGAAATGAAGGAGAGATACTATTTAGTTAACTACTGATGTGCATGAATGCCAAACACCACATAAAAGAAACTGCAATAAAAAAGAAGTTTTTATATCGTTTTAATAGCAAAACACTCTAACATGACAACAGTCACATTAATATTGTGGATAAGGTCACCACAATATTTTTACTACCAAAACAGCAGGTTTTGGAAATTAAAAAAAATGTTAAAGATTATATTTTATTTCAATTCTAGAAAATCAAAATGACACAGAATTTTACAAATCAGTAATATGCTTTACAAACACATCTGAAAGAGTTTACTGAGTGAAACAGATGGAAATATTTCTTCATAATTAAATGAAATGATGATCGTGGGCAAAGTTAAGAAAATTAAAAGGATGGATTGCTTTGAAAATTAATGATGGTGCAAGCTTGCAACGAAAAAGGCCAAAGTATTTCATGTATGTGCATGTAATATATACATGGCACATATAAAATGTATGCAAACATATGCCCTTGATAGATATTTGTATCTCTCTACTAACGTTTGCTAGATGCTATTGCACTACATGGTTAAAGGGAGTTGCGAGAGCACCCATCCCTGCCACGCTCACAAATCACTCTGAAAAAATAATTAAGATAACTTCACTTTAATCTTTTTCCCACTGAGAACTTACTATCCCATAAGAACCCTGGGCCACCTTGCTTTGGGCATTATACTGTATATGATTATTTTGCCTCACATTTTTCAAAAACTATTTCTGTATCAATTTAAGATTAATAATATGCAAGTATTGATATGACATATTAAAGCAGACTGGAGTGTTGTCAAAAGAATTTTCAGCATCTCAGTTAATTATTTTAATTACTTACCTTACAGCCTAAATTCACTTGGATTATTTTTACTCTTTTTTTGTCCTCTTTTTGTTCTTAATGCCTCATCAATTTTTGTGTTAATTAATAGGAATTATATTAGTTAACTATATATAGTTAAATATAATTAACTACACCCAAATTTTTCTACTAACAATAAGACCTCATGCTGCATATTTTATAAATATATTTTATCATACATTTTAATGTAACTGCCAATTTATATACTTTCCATGAACTAATAATTGAGATTACTTTATAATTCCTGAAATCCAACTATTTTCACAACAACAATTTCCTCACTGTTCATCTAAGCAAATGGAAAGAATTTATGATGAAGACATTTTAGATTGAAAAAGTCTCTGACAATCTTACACAGTCAGTAAAAACCTCAGAATGTGCAACTCTGAAATATTGTATGTGTTCCTGAAAGGAAGACCAGCGGCAAGTTGTTTTTAAAATTCTGCATGCAGTTTGTGGCTCAACATTCAACACTAATTGCTTTTGCAAGATTCCCATGCATACAGTTTCCTTTGTTAACACAAGTTTTCTTAGCTATTTATACTCACAAGTCTTGTGTCTATAATTTTAATAATGATTAAAGCATTGAAAAGTCAAGGGCCTCCCAAAATATGTGAAAGAAACTTGGCTTTTAATCTGTACTAATCAATTTTTTACAAACTCTATCTATGAGGATTCCTGAAGTCATTATATCCACCAATTAAATATTAACAACATTAAGCATAGTTTTGAAAATAACACTACAATTCTAATGATGTATTCAAGAGCTGTGATGTTTATTCAGACGTAATCTTTGAAGTCACACCCCTCTGAACTCCATGCTCCCTGATGGACTAGGGTTTGGAGCAGCCAATGGTCATTTCGAAGAAATGTGTCTACAGAAGCAACAGTGATTCTAGCGTTGTTCCAGTCCACTTTAATTGTCTGTTGTCCTCATAAGTCATGGTAAATTATTGTTTAACCCAGAACTCCAGAAGCACTACATAACTACAAAATATCTATGTATGCAAGGGTCAAGTATAAATTTTATATTAATATTTTTAATTATTTCCCAGTTTACTTACCTCTTTTTCAGTCTTACCTCAGAACTAAAACATATATCACATAAAACTAGCATAAATTATGGTGTTATTTTAAAAACCTACATGGATATATAAATATATATAGTATTTTTTGAAATATCTTCAATGTTTATTCTTTGTCATCACTTAAACTTAATTGAAAGCTTGGCTTTGTTTTAGAGTTTTATATATTAATATTCTGTGAAATATGATCATCCTTTGGCATTCTATCAATATTGGGATGGATATTTTCTTGTGTGTTTTACATTGATAAACACCCATGGAAGTAATGAAGATTAAAGTAAATAATTTTCAGCAAGATGTCTCAAATCAGAGCTCTGTAATAACTTGGATTGGAAAATAGATATAAAATTTATTTCCAAGAGTAAATTCATATAGTGAGCTCACTATAGTGACATAGTTCAAAATGTCTACTAAAATTTATGGAATGGCAAATGTAGTTTGATTTTGGACTTATTGAGTTTGCAAGGAAAAGATAATACTATGGAAAACTGAAACAGAGAAATAATCTACTGTCTATAGATTACCGAATCATGTTTAAAACTGAAATTTTTAAATACCATATATTATAGTGATTCAAACATCTAAACATTCAATATTCCCTGCCTAGTTTTAAACAAAAGCTGAAACCACTCTTTTGTAAGTATATGGAAAAATATTTTCTCCTTTATACAGTAAGAGGTTATTAGATATGTATAATCTCATTTAATAATTTAAATGTCACAGGATGAACTGGCTGGTTGGTTATTCCCTTAAAGGAAACACCACTGATTACATTAGAAATTACAAAAACATCAGTAGTTAACCACTAAAATACAAGTTGTTATTTTGAAAAATACATATTGATATTTTTATATTGGTCCATGTGAAACTTCTAACATATAGGGAAGAAAATCCCTATTCTAATTTTAAGTTAAGAATGATTTATATAGTCTTTTATATATGCCCATTATAGTTGAAAAAAGCTATCCATGTTAACATGTACTGTATGAATGTAAACACTTCTTTGTCAAACCCTGCTAATACATGTCATTCACTAAGCTTAAGAAGTAAGTGTTTTTAGCCTTACCCAATAGGCCTTGAAACAATAATTTCAACTTGAGGTTCTGATTTTGATTCTAAAATAATGTTGTAAACTTCTTCGTTTGTTGCTCCCGGCAGGGGTTTACCATTCCACTCTAGAACTTCATCCCCTTGAATTTAAAAAAAAGGGTATTTTTTTACCTTATATGTTCTGTTTACTTTTCTTATCTTTTCTCTTTTTTAACAAAGAAATGCAAACCATATACCAATCATTGAATACTTGAGGCTTTGCTCTCAGAAGCAAAATGACTTGTCATATAATGTCAGCTAACTGGTTCTTCTAACCAGCTTTACTTTCTTCTTTTATTTTCTTCCCCCAATATCACTGAAAATAGTCCAATACAAATCTGACTTTATTTTTTTAGATATACCAGAAATAATATAAAAATAATCTCATGCTATGGGATGGAAATTAGCACAGCCTATTTGGAAACATTAAAACCAATGGTTAGCAGCATGCCCTGTAATATAATAAACCAGGCAGCCCTGCATGTGATAGGTTCTTATTAAGTAAGCAGAACTTTTGCTTTAATTTTGGTAAAAAATAGCAATAAACATTTTCTAGCATGAATTTTCCATCTCTAAGTCAGGCTCCAATGTCTTTACCTGATGCACAACAGAATAAAAATGCATGAAAGGATTTGGATTCATATCCATAGGTAAGGTAACATAGGTAGCCATGGCAGTTACAAAGCAAGCAGATGTAAAAACTGTTGCATGACAGTTAACCCCCTTCCAGATGTTCGTCACACATGCATTCTACACAGAGCATGTAGTGAGTACGGAAGTCGAAGCAGGACATATTGAAGGCAATGGAGAATTCATCTAATACTCATTTCTTTGTGAAATAATCTAAGAGCGATGAAGGACAGAAATATGATTTCCCATGGGAATAAAGTAAGGCAACCGATGGCTGCTATTTAACTCCAGCTTTAAGAGTAGATGATTTGAAGACAAAGATTTATTTTCATAAATTGTTAGAGCATAAATGGTCTTCTGACAGAGCCTTCTAGCTCACCATGGTACATTCAGGTGAGACATCTCTGCATTAGTCATTTTTTTGAGGTGGCTTACTTTCCTCATGTCCATGCTTATTATGTTGTTCTTACCATTTTAGGTCTTCAAATAATTAAGGACATAACTAAAATCAGTGGTTAATTAATAACATTGTACACTTAAAGGTATATACAAATATGAAGTTCTTAGATTTTAAGTCAAGTCATGTTTATATTAGATAGAAAAAATCTTAACGTAATTCTTATTTTCTAAAAATTTCGTTCCTTAAAAGTAAAAAGCATGAGTCTGCTTAAGTTTCATTAATAATATGGTTATTAACAATGATTAAGTAAGTCTTACTAAGTTGACCTAAGAAGATACCTAGAGAGATTTCCACCGATATACTCCACTGATCAGAAGAAAGGAAAGTAAACAAATTCATTTTCACAACACATTAGCAATGTTCAAAAAGTTTTTTGATCAAGGAAATAAAGTTTACCACCACAGTTCATTAGACATATATTTATATCTAATGAATTATACATAATTAGACATAATTCATTAGACATATGTATTTAATATATAAATATGTGTATATTCACACCTATGATGAAAATACTTTATAAAATAGTACTTACCCTGACAATTCCTACTGCATTTTGTTCTATCACTTTTTTTGCAAAATGGTGAATATAAATAGATTGACTTTAATACTCAACAGTGGATGGCAACCATTGTTTTGCAAGTTATGCACTGTAAATTACTCTTCATAACTGACAGTAATCTGAGCACATAACTTTAATATTAAACTAACAATGTTTTAATGTATTTATAGTGTTATAAAACTGAGTACAAAAAGTATTTAATACCATTCAAACCATTTGCTTATCCATGGATATTCACCTAAGTAGATGTAGCAAATGATGGGAAAAAAAGAAAAAATACAACACTTTCTCTTTATATTTCATAAGTATAAATGGAAATTTAATAAGAAACCAGTGCAAAACCTTTTAATAATGTGTTTCCTGCAATGACAAGCATCCAATGAGGAACAGAAGTAGAGCCAGGTGGTACCAGGAGGGTAGTAATTAGTTATTGCTCTAGGTGAGCTATCAAGAAACATTTGAATTATGAGCACTGAAGGATGAAAAAGATTTCAACAAGAGGAGCAGGTTGACAGCTGGTGCTGATCAAATCTTGTGGCGGGCAGGGAAAAAGCTGGCCAGGACACAGGTACAGTGACATAGCCAGGGAGCTCTGTAGGCTCACAGTGGGCAGAGCGACAAAACTTTGAGTTGGAGAAAAACAAGAGGCAGACACAGATGGACCTAGAGTAACAAGCGTGAATGTCGGTGTTGTGTTTTGGATAGCTAAACAAAGCAACAGCGAACTGAATTGACTTGAAAGGGAACCAGTCTGTATGAATCCATGGAAGATGGAAGAAAGGTTCCAAAATCCCAAGTAAAAGTCAAAAATAATGTCTCAGGTGACGTTTATGAGCTAAGGCTGTTATATGAAAATAGAAGAGAAGCCAGTTTGTAGATTAAAATATATATCCAACTGTGTCTATCATTGAGTCTATTTATTTTGTACAAACCAACTGCTTAAAATAAAAAGCATACTTGTATGCTTTACAATTACTTGAGCTGTGCTTTATCTATTTTAGATAACAGGTTATGTTATAGCGAGCAACAACTTCATTCACTTTTTCAGTAACCACTGAAGAAAAGGCAACTAAATTCAAAAGCCATTATACTATTCTCATCTGAAATAAAAGGAGTAGCTAAAGTTTGCTAGCTTTAGCTACCTTGGGATTCCTACACATTTTCAGATTTATTCTTCTGTCAACAATCACATTTATTGGCACAGTTACCCATTATCTACAGTGAAATCCACTAAAAATGTTATTTTAGTTTTACCTAAAATTGAAAATAAACAACTCATCAATATCAATTTTAAGTTGTGTTTCTACTGAATTTACAGCACATTCAGTGATCATTATTTCTTACTATGTCACTTAAGGCTACAGAGAGCAAAATAACCTCCCAAATTCTTTAGAAGCGGCATCATATGTCACACTTAAATTAACCTGCAATTCATTAAAAAATCTGTTTAGGAATCATTATTATCATTAGATTATATGCCAAACATCAGTTACTAATCCTAAATTAGTGTTTTGACAGATTATGAAAGACAATGATGTGGAATGCATTTTTTGTGATGTTAATCCACTTTCTATTTATATTTCTGCTATAGCATTATAAAGTCATCTATAAAATAAGCATTCTTTCACTTTTATCTGTTGTTTTATCAATTAAAAAGATTACTAATTTTACTATCTCCTAACTGCTGCTTATATACAGACCCATATAAAGGAACTGGAGAACATTTTCACCAGGAAAAGAGCTGTATCCATGCTTTAAAATGACTTGGTGACAATTCACACATAAACTACTGACACAATCTGAAACCCATCAATTTATACAGTGAGAACAAACTGGTTATATGGAAAAGAGAAAAGTTACCTGCTCTTAGGTGTCCGACTACATCAGCCAGGCTACCCTTCTTTACTTTGGTGATGAAAGCACCAAGACGTCCTAAGTCTGTCATTTTTCCTCCAACCACCTGGATAATTACAAACTCATGAGTTCCTCAGTGATATCCAGGAATAAATAGGTAAGCATAACTAAAGGTCCACTGTCTTCTAACATGCTTACAATCCAGTGAGGGAACATTCATGGACTTCATTTTGGATAGAAGTAAATAATAGTAATGCATTATTTTTAAGAATTACTATACTTGGGTTGGCTGTGTAAGGGAGTTTGTGTACTGACCTTGGGGAACAAATCCCTATTCATCAAGTGGCTGGCGCTGTTTGCACTGAGTTAATTGGTCTTTCATATCATTATCATACCTACCATGTGAATAAGCCTATTTGCATAAAGATATGCCCCCACTATCCATTTCACATCTCTGTCCCTTTTCTATGACTGTGGTAGATTATGGTAGACTTGAGTTCATACATTCTAAAGATTCCACCGAAGCAAAGGCCTCCTGGGGGAAGTGACACCGTACAAAGTATTCTGTTCTACAAATATCATAGCTGCAGCACGTCTACAACAAAACATCAGGAAAATGTCATTCCCCATACCTAGCTATGAACACTTGGCTCTCAAGGCTGAATTATATTGCTAAAAATTCAACATTTTCCATTTTACCTAAAGTCAATATAATCTGAAAAACAACTCTAGGCTCAATTTTACAATATACAGGAATCTCAAATATACACAATTAAAGATGGGTGGAGAAGAGAAAAGAAAGGTGAAATAATAATACTGAATAGTGAGAGTGGGCCACAGTTCTTAGAAGCATAGTTATTAATACAGGATGCCAGTTATTCCATAGCAAGATTAATTAATAGTAATAATCAACAAAATACAAATAAGTGTATGAATTAATTTTTGCTTGGCTGTCTTTTGATTCAAACACAGGGCTTTCACGTATGCCAGGCAAGAACTCTACAGATAACTGAACATATTCCATAAATTTATGGCCAACAATTCTCAACAGATAACACACAACAACAATATTTAAAGCAAAATCTTGGAATATTAATTTAGGAAACTGCCAGGAAAATCATGTGTCTGGAGACACATAATGCAAGAATGCAAGATATGCATGTATGTGCACATGTACTTGTGTGCACATATATACACTGTTCTATGAAATAGAAATATCGCTGTGTAGCTAACATATTCTTATTTCAATCAGGGGACATTATTTGTTTAAAAGAAATATTTTATACTTTTAACATTATTGTAAGACTCACCTATGTGCTATTTCTCCTTAAGTAAATTCCTTGGATGGAATTTACTTTGGGAAATAGAGTAAAACATTTAAAACTAACTGTTGCAAACTTTGTGAATGCTGTCTTTACTGTACTTTATCCTGTAGGAGGCATTTTGAACCAGTATACTTACTTTTAGACCCAATAATGCACCTGATTCTTTGGGCATGGTTGTTCTTTTGTTAAGAATAACGCGGCCAATTAATCGGTCTCCCTCTTTCGATGGCTGCCACGTTACAGGATGCTATGAAAACACAAAGTTTAAAACGTGAACGGCACAACTTTCTAGATATAGCATCAGTAGCACAGACAGAGCAACAGTCAGTACATAAGACCTACCGAAACTGAAAAGCTTCTGCAAGGCAATAAAAACTGTCAATAAGACAAAATGGCAGCCTACAGAATGGGTAAAGATCTTCACCAACCCAACATCTGACAGAGGACTGATCCAAAATATATAAAGAACTCAAGAATCTAGACATCAAAATACCAAACAATCCAAATTAAATATAGGGTACAGATCTAAACAGAGACTTCTCAACAGAAGAATCTCAAATGGTCGAAAGACATTTAAGAAATTGCTCAACATCAGGAAAATAAAAAAAATATAAATAAAAATCAAAATGACTCTGAGATGCCATTTCACAGCAGTCAGAATGGCTGAGGGGAACACTCCTCTACTACTAGTGGGAGTGCAAACTTGTACAGTCACTTTGAAAATCAGTATGGCAACGTCTCAGAAAACTGGGACTCAATATCCCTCAAGACCCAGCATTAACGCTCTTGGGCATATACTCAGAGAATGCTCAATCATATCACAAGAACACCTGTTCAATTATGTTCACAGAAGCATTATTCGTAATAGTCAAAACTGGAAACAATTTAGATGTCTCTAAACCGAAGAAAGGATAAAGAAAATGTGGCACATTTACACAATGGGGTTTTACTTAGCATATAAAACAATGACAATATGAAGTTTGAAGGCAAATGGATGAAACTAGGAAAAAAATCATCCTGAATGAGGTATCCCAGACCCTCCTGGTGATGGTTGGTGAGAGCATGAAGGAATGGGATGGTCGAGTTGGGAGAGAGACGGAATGGGAGAGCAATAGAAGAGATATCTTGATAGAGGGAGTCAATACGGGATTAGGGATTTTGTAGGGTGGTACAAAAATCCCCAGGCAACCACAACAATGAACTGAACTAAGACTCCTAGCAATAGTGGAGTGGGTGCCTGAAGTGGCCTTTCCCTGTAATCAGATTGATGAATATCCATCCTGTCATTAGAGAACCTTTATCCAATAAACTGATGGAAGCAGATGCAGAGATCAGCAGCCATATACAACCAGGCCGCGCTCTGAGAGTCCAGTGGAAGAGAGGGAGGAGGGATTATATGAGGGGGATCAAGACAGAAAATGCATAGAAACAGTGGACCCGAACACGTGGGAACTAAGGGACTCTTGACTGACAGCTGGGGAGCCTGCATGGGACCAAACTAGGCCCTTTGCATGTGGGCAACGGTTGTCTAGCTTGGTCTGTTTGAGGGACACTGGCAGTGGGGCATGGACATGGACTTATCCCTGGTGCATGAGCTGGCTTTTTGGAACTCATTTCCTATGGTGAGAAACCTTGCTCAGCCTTGATGCAGGGTAGAGGGTCTTGGTCCTGCCTCAACTTCATGTGCCAGGCTTTGTTGATACCCCACAGCAGGCCTTATCCTTTCAGAGGAGTGGATGGGAGGCGGTGGGGGGAAGCAGGAGGGAACAGAGGGGGAACTGTGGTTGGTATGTAAAATGAATAAAAGGTTTTTAAAGTAGCAATTAGTACTGGCACAATTTATACAAAGAAACATAAGAATAAAAAGTGAATGGCTTGTTTTATTTTCTGTAGTTAAATAATCAGCAATTGTAGCATGAAGTGATTTTGGGGGAGAGAACTAAAAGACACCAGATTGGGAATTCTTACTTTAGGTGCGCTCTGTAGTGGGCTTATGAGGCTTTTCAATAAGAGCTATAGTTTACTTTCAATGATTCTAAAAGTATTTTGAAACTAAAAACAGTATCAGAAGTGACTCTGAAATATAACTAACTGTAATTTTAATAACCTCTACTGTACATAGAGCACTACATTTGAGTTATTAATAGTGATAATATACTGGTGACTATATAAAAATAGCAACTACTATATAAAATAGTATATACTATAAGGAGGTATACCACATATAGATACACTAATATATATACCCATAGCAAACACATAATATACCTATAGGTTTAGTGATATATATCATAGATATAGGTATATATCCTATATATGTGGTGTATATATAGTATACCTACCTATAGGTACACACACATATATATTATATAGCTCTTGAATTATATTGGTTTATCTTACAATCTATTTTACTTTACAGTTGTATAAAGGTATTACCATTCAACAGATACCATATGAACCTTAACTTTGGTCAGGTTGTGACATTTCTGTCATGTATGTACTCCTCTCTCACGGTGCTGGGCACGGCGGTGAGACAGGTTCAGACTGCCATGCAATTTGTCAACAATCAGCATCCTACATGGTACTGTGTTACAAAGTGATGGTTTCAATAGAACAGGTGTATGAATCACATTTCAAAAACAATGTATTATTTTTAATTAATGAATGTGAACAAGTGCACATGCCACGATGTACATGGATTCAGAGGACAACTTATGAGACTTGGTTCTCTCATTTCATAATGTGGGTTCTAGGGATTGAAGTCAGGTTGCCATGCTTCACGGCAAGTGACTTAACTTCTAAGCCACCCTGCAGTCTATAATTCAAAAACACTTTCAATTTACAATTAGTTAAATAGGATGTAATCTCATTGTATAGTAACTGAAGGAGTACCTGGGATATTTCAGTCTTACTCACATAAAATGGAGTCATTATTGAATGATTTTTTTGTGTGTTTTCCCACATGCAAGAGCTCTAGAGAAAATAATAGTGGTGACATGGCTGTGTAGCTGTTCAGAAAAGTGGAAAGTGATACAGGAAGGAGAGGGAGTTAGAGACAGGAATGTAAGTCTGAATAGAATCAGAGAATATATGCAAGAATGAAAATATAACACTGAAAATTAATATTCTGCAAAACAGAAAGGAAAACTCGAAATAAAATATATTTGTCTGGAGTGTGAACATCACTAGGAAGCTTACATCTTTTTAGATATATATTGGTCAACACTGTAACTATGACAGACATAACCTGGCTTTTAAGGTGGTGTTGGTTCTATTTAACCTCAGCATAGACCGAATTCCCAATGTTTAAATTTCAAATATTTATTTGAACTTGTATTATAGTCAAATGCTGTTAAAAGTTTCAAAGATTTCTCCTCCAGCATTTAAAAATATTTTCGACAGAAGTTAAAACTAGGTTAAGCACTTGTGTGGCCCAACAGCAAAACCTTCCATGATCAATGCAATAGATATGAATCTTGTGTGTTTGTGTGTGTATATTTTTATGCATTGTGCATGCTTGTTTTTTCTGTGTTTGTTATGTCTCTGGGTGTGTTTATGTGCATATTTATGCACTGGATACGTGCGCATGTTTGTGCTTGTGTATGTGTGTGTGTCTGTGTATGAACTGAAGGGATGAAACTCTTTTCAATAAAGCTCAGGGCTCTATAAAAATACTCAAATAAGAAGAGGCCAAACTAATTCATCACCGCAGTGACATTTTCCTGTACCTACAGAAGTGAAGTCATGTCACCCCGGCAAATGTAGGACCTCACCCTGAGATTACTCTCATTTCTCACTTGTCTAAGCATTACTCTGAACAAGTGTTGCAAACTCCATGCAATGGGAAACTGAGCACAAAAATGTAACTGTGGAGCAAACATAAATGCATGAACTTAGATTTAAACCAGATGCTGTCGTATTACTTAGTTAACCATTATTATAGAAGCAGACGTGCCTGTCTGTCACAGTCATTGATTTCACTGTCTTTGTTTTAAACAACAAAATTAATTGCTTACTTTTAATAAGAAAACCTGTGCAAGCAGCACTGTTATCTTAGTTTGACCCCACGATCTGAATCTTAACATCTAAATACAGTCTATCAAAGTATATAGAAGTGTCTTATTATTATGGAGAAAAGCCATTTCAGTGTGGACACATAAAACATTGTCAGACTTCTTGAGGAACATTTTTAAAGTACTCTTCATTTACAAAATGATTTCAAGAGGCCGGGTGATGGTGATGCATGCCTTTATCTCAGTACTTGGGAGGCAGATGCTGGTAGAGCTCTATGATTATCCACATTTTTTCAAATATAACTCCTTTTCTTTAAGGTGGCCCTTTTAAACTAAGTAAATAATGGCTGTAATAAAATCTGTACTTGATCCAGGAAGACGATTATTGATCACATAACCTAAGATGATGAATACCAGATATGAATTTTGACTTGTATATGCTACGAGAGAGCTTACCGAACTAATAGGCGACGTTTCCCGGCTGTGCCACGTCGCAGGATCCAGCCAGTAATAATCCAAGTCACCTGTGCATTGGGAAAGAGTGAGAAGAGGTTGAAGTGAGAAATCTCAGCAGTGCAGCACCGATCTCAGCGTCACTTCTTCCAACCCAGGAAATAGGTGTTCGGGTACTACAAACTTGTATGTTTGCACTCCAGGTTATTATACAATTGATACGGGAAGCTTAGGGCTTGAATCACGGGAATGAATGATACACATGTGCCCTTGCAATCAGGTGCTACCAGTCACCCTAGAAACGTTGACACAAAACAGTGTGGAAGCCATGGGATTTTCCCTCCCTGTCTGCCTCAAATAACTCTGCAGCAGGCGACAGCCTGCCATCTAGTGGCGAACGATTTATCCACTAGCTGAGAAATATTAAAATTTAAGCTCTCTGGAACTCACCTGCACTATCTCCCATCTTTCAAAGTCATAGGATGATCTATATCCTCCTTCATTAACTGATAATATAGCACACATACCTAATACTTAACAATAAATAAACTACCAAGAAAAACTTAGCAAAGGCTGCAAGCAAATAATATTTACTCAACAGTACTACCAGAGCCATAAGGAAATTAAAAAGTGCTAGCCCTGTACATCTGAATCTAACTTAATATTTATTTTATTTTAAAAAGAATATTTTAATATTTACTTCTATCATAATGCCAAAGAAAGAAATTTAGTAAAATATAGAAAGGAAAGAGCAATGTTCACAGTATTTGTATGAGATAAAAGATGGGAGAGAACAGCTTTTTAAGAAAAGTCAAAATCAAATGACCGTCATGTTTTAAATACCAGGTTAACTCTTTTCCAATGGTCTCTCTATGGATCTCCCAAGAGAATAAAAAAGATCTGAGAGTTATCTAACTATGCCAGGTAATCCCGAAGCACACAGCCGCTACTAGCTAACTGGAAAACAAAAATTTGGCTTGTAATTGTATCTTAGCATCAAAACCATTTTCATTGGTGGCAAGTATGAGAGACGTGAGAACTGCAGAAATGCAATACATAATAATTTCAAGTAGTCCTTAGTCATAAAATCCACACATTTCTACTTCAATGCTTTCTGCAAGCTTCTTTTACACATCTAGATTTAAAAAAAAATGGTTTAAATGCTACAATAAATATTGAAATGTCATTTAAATATTCATAATGATAATGGTAGTTTCTGTGTAGCTATTAATGTTAGAAATGAGGCCATCACTTCACCCGGTATTCAAACCTCTTTCAAAAATCATGTATTTGAATGCACAGATGGTCCAATATCAGCTTTTGAATTCCTAAATATCTGAAGAACACCTCCAGTTACAGAAATCGTTTTTCTGAACTTCAAAAAACTGAATTTCGAAAGCAAGGACTTTTGCATCTTATGTTTATTATCTGTAGAACTTTCCAAATTTAATTTCAAGTAGCTAGTCTTCAATCCCTTTCAGAAAACAAACTATAATATGAATATTGAAGTACTAATATGAATATTTATTTGCAAACTTGTTATTGCTATTAATATGTGTTTCTCCCCAATTTCCATATACTTAGCAATGAGCAGTTAGTTTCTAAGGCATCTTTAAAGACTCATATTCACAGAACTACTTAGACTGTCAGGAGATACAGAGGAATCTTAGTTGATGTAGGATACCCTTCTGAACACCGCAAATATGTGTTGCTTTTGTTAGTTAATGAATAAAGTTATGGCAGGGCACAATATAGTCAGGCAGAAAAGCCAAAATGAATGCAGGGAGAGAGAAGGAAGGGTCAAAAAAGACACCAGTAGCTGCCTGAGGAGTAAGATGTGTGGTAACAAGCCTTGTGATAAAATATAATAATAGAATTGGGTTCATTTAAGTTGTAAGAGATAGTTAATAATAAACCTGAGTTATAAGCCAAACAGTTTGTAATTAAAATTAAGCCTCAGAGTGGTTACTGGGATTTGGCAGGCAGAAGAGAAATATCCAGGTAAAAATGGTGCATGAATCCACATAAGACCTAAATCATCTTTTAAAAGTTTCCAAGCACAAAGGAACAGAGACACACTTGGCTTCTTAGTCTCTCATGTCAGGTACAGCACATAGATGCATCTCTGGGAAAACTGCCCAAGAGATGGAGCTGGCCACCAAACACCATGGGCTAAGAAGCATGGCCAGTTATGATAGTTTCTTACACCGGTAAAGAGGCTCCCAGCAGCTGCCTGCGAGTTTGAGAGCACAGCTGCAGGCTGGAGAGCACAGCACAGCTGCCAGTTACTTAGTATGCTCTCCAGAGTTGGGGAGGTGAGCATGACTCTCATGGGTACCTCAGCCATGTTGAAAAGTTAAACAGGGTGGAACCCTCAGTCAAAGCTGCAGCTTTGGCTCTATCCACACCTGCTCAACATTCCAAAACCTCTCCTGGTCAGAAAATGATTACCAATATGCAATAAAGACAGATTCAGAGAAAAAAAGAATTAAAACAAACAACAACAAAAAAAATAAAAAACAAAACAAACCCCACCTCTAAACAGGTCACAGTGTGTTTCAAATGTATGTAGGCTTGAGGAGACAGAAAAGGGTATAGATGGTTATAAAAATAAATAGTTTTAAAAAATCAAATAGTCTTTAAAGAGACAGTAAAAAGTAATAGAAAATAAAAAGCCACATCAAGTTGAAAAATACACAGACAGTCTGAATTATGTATATTATTTTATTATTTTTTTTTATTTTTTGACTATCAATGAGCTAACTACAGAAAGACATTTGATTGTGGGGGCTGCTAAGTTAAATCAATATAAAGATATCTTGCCTTCAAAGTTTGAGTCAAAGGATATGTTGCTTTGGAAAAGAAGTTCTGCTTATGCTTCCACAGAAGATGAGAACCTGTGGATTCCTTCCAGGCTAATAATTTTTGATCAAGAAAGACACCCTGAAAAGTCTCCAATGGGAGCAATGGCCCAGGTGACCCACCATTCAAAACAGCTTTAAGGTAACTGGTTGAGACAATGCAGCCTCATAGACTGCTGCAGCTAAGATTTAATCAAATTTTAAATTTTCTCAGGATTCCCATAAGATTACCAGTACATCCAGTCAGCAGAGAGTAATATAAAAACTATGCCCAAATTCCCAAAATATTGTTTATAAATGTATGTTTGCATTTAAGAGGGATTGGTTATAAATGATCAATGGTCATAGTCAAAGTATTTCTAAAAAAGGGGGGAGATATTATGTAGAAAATGATAAAAGGGAGATTATTATATTTATTTTAATCCAAAAGACAACTATTAATTTCAAAATATATTGGTGTGGATTTTGGTTAACTGATACAAATTTAAGGTCAATTTTGTTATTCTATATGTATATTTCTACTGTTGTCTAGGGTATTATGTTTATATAGCTCATTTAAAAATGTCATAGCCAGAACCTGGAAATAACCTAGATGCCCCTCAACCAAAGAACAGATAAGGAAAAATGTGTTACATTTACACAATGGAATACTACACAGCAGAAAAAATAGCGACATCTTGAATATTGCAGGCAAATGGATGGAGCTAGAAAACATCATTTTGAGTGAGGTAACCCAGACACAGAAAGACAATTATCACATGTACTCAATCATAACTGGTTTTTAAACATTAAGCAAAGAAAATCAGCTTAAAAATCATAATCCCAGAGAACCTAGACAATAATGAGGACCCTAAGAGAGACATACATAGATCTAATCTACATGGGTAGTAGAAATAGACAAGATCTCCTGAGTAAATTGGGAGCATGGGGACCTTGGGGAAGGGTTGAAAGGGAGGGGAGAGGCAAGGAAGGGAACAGAGAAAAATGTAGAGCTCAATAAAAAAATAATAAAAGTGAAATATATAGTTAAGAAATACTATTAGTCATCTATAATCATCAAATTTACAGTCATGTTATTTAGGTTTTCTAGATATGCAAAGATATATTTCTGATGGATAGGTAATCTTCAAACACTTCAAAGATCTACAGAATATAAAATTTAAAATGTTTTAAGAACTTAGACTTTTCCCAAGAACGAAACATCTCTGCTCCTGGCAGCACCAATTACTTCAAGAGGATGACGGGCATCAAAGAAGCTGCTTATGGAATTTTTTTTACAATGTGACTAGGCTAGCCATGTGGGCAAGAAACTTCTCTTGTCTGGACTGCTTGACTATATGCTATATAAACTGGACATGCACGATACACAGGAAGCTGATTGCTGAACTTGCCAAAACAAGATAGGGCAATCCTTCAGGGTTCCTGCTTCATGGAAGAAATTGCCAGACATTCTGCAGAACACAGAATAAAATGATTGACGAACTGCCAATATAGGTGGGACAGTTTCAAATTTCCTACTTCACTAAGAAGTCTGCCAGGTACTATGGGTCTGTAGGTTGAAGATGAATACCCCAACATTACAGAAGAAGTTTGGGTGACTGTCCAGAAAGTCATATTTCTGTCATTTTTAGAGTGTTGGAAGTTACTTAAAATGTACTTCCTGTTTACTTACATAATAATATATCCTTCTGGGGTCTTTGATAGAGTTGAAGAATAGATAATTGTAATTTTCCTTACTTATGATAAAATAAATTGGATATAAAGCTTTATTCTAACAAAGATAGTATAGATGATAGAGTATTTTCTTTAATTTTATTAAATACAAATAAGCTAAATAACTGTAATAAATGAAACTGTAATCCTTGCTAGATAACTGTTTTGCTATATTCAATTTTATAATGTTAAAGTTAAAACTTTCCTTCTTAATTAGACAGAAAAGGAGAGATCGTGTGGGATGCCCTTCTGTATGCTGCAAATGTGTGTTCTTTTATTGGGTGATGAATAAAACTGTTTTGACTTATGGCAGGGAGGAATATACCTATTCAGGAAAGCCAAACTGAATACAGGGATAAAGAAAGTGAGGTCAAGGGAGATGCTGTCAGTTGCCAGGGAAGCAGATGTGAAGTAACAAGCCACAATTCTCATAGTAAAATATAGAATAATCGAAATGGGTGAATTTAAATTGTAAGATCTAGGTAATAATAAGCCTG